TGGGAAGTCTCCGTCCCACAGTTCGTCCAACAGGCCTTTCACACCGCCAGCAAGCACTGGTGGGTCCAAATCTCCTGGGAGTTCAGGCAGATCTCAGACTCCTCCCGGTGTAGCTACTCCTCCTATTCCAAAAATCACAATCCAGATCCCAAAAGGAACTGTGACTGTTGGCAAACCGTCTTCTCATGGCCAGTATACGAGTAGCGGCTCTGTCACCTCCTCCAGCAGCAAAAGCCATCATAGCCATTCCTCCTCCTCCTCCTCTTCTTCCTCTTCTTCAACCTCAGGCAAAATTAAAAGCAGCAAATCAGAAGGGTCTTCTGGCTCAAAGATGAGCAGCAGCCTCTACTCAAGCCAGGGTGGCTCCAGTTCAGGTCCGTCCAAGAGCTCAGTTCAGTCCGTGGGAAAACCCGGATCCTCCCCCATCACCAAACACGGCCTCAGCAGCGGTTCTGGAAGTACCAAGATGAAGCCTCAAGGAAAGCCATCGTCACTTATGAACCCTTCCATGAGTAAACCAAACATCTCTCCATCTCATTCTAGACCCTCAGGAGGTTCTGACAAGCTCGCTTCTCCCATGAAGCCTGTTCCAGGCACTCCCCCGTCATCTAAAGCAAAGTCACCTATCAGTTCAGGTTCTGGAGGCTCTCATATGTCTGGGACCGGGTCGAGCTCGAGTATGAAATCGTCTTCAGGAATGGGATCCTCTGGGTCTATGTCACAGAAGCCGCCTCCGTCATCAAATTCTTCCACGGCATCTTCATCTTCCTTCTCATCCAGTGGGTCTTCTATGTCTTCGTCTCAAAACCAGCATGGAAGTTCCAAAGGCAAGTCTCCTAGCAGAAATAAGAAGCCATCTCTGACTGCAGTCATAGACAAACTGAAACATGGGGTCGTCACTAGCGGGCCTGGTGGAGATGACCCAATGGATGGACAGATGGGGCCGAGTTCCAATTCCTCGAGCCATGCTATGTCCTCCAAACACAACATGTCTGGGGGCGAGTTCCAGGGCAAGCGAGAGAAGAGCGACAAAGAAAAATCTAAAGTCTCTGTTTCCGGAGGATCCGTTGACTCTTCCAAGAAGGCTTCAGATTCCAAAAATGTTGGAAGCACTGGAGTGGCCAAAATCATCATCAGCAAACACGATGGTGGTTCTCCTAGTATTAAAGCCAAAGTAACTTTGCAGAAACCTGGGGAAGGAGGCGGGGATGGCTTGCGGCCTCAGATGGCTTCTTCCAAAAGCTACGGATCCCCTTTAATCAGTGGATCTACTCCAAAACACGAACGCTGCTCTCCCAGCCACAGTAAGTCACCAGCATACACTCCCCAAAACATAGACAGCGAGAGCGAGTCGGGCTCTTCCATAGCAGAGAAGTCCTATCAGAACAGCCCCAGCTCTGACGATGGCATCAGGCCGTTGCCTGAATACAGCTCAGAAAAGCATAAGAAGCACAAAAAAGAGAAGAAAAAAGTGAAAGACAAGGACCGGGACAGAGATCGGGATCGGGATAAAGACAGAGACAAGAAGAAATCTCACGGCATGAAGCCGGAGAGCTGGTCGAAATCCCCCATCTCAGCCGACCAGCCCCTCTCCATGGCCAGCAGCGCCATCCTGTCGGCAGAGCGGCCGTCCCGGCCCAGCCCTGAGTTTCTGATTGGGGAAGAAGATGACGATCTGATGGATGTGGCTCTAATTGGCAATTAATCTTCTCAGTATCTTTGGAAGATGAGCTGCACGCAGGACCTGCAGGTGCTAGGGATGGAAGGGAAGGAACTGCTGGCTGCAGACCTGGCACGCTGACCTTTATGAGGTGTGCTAAGAGGAGAAAAGGTGTTTGCAAGGATCTCCAAAGACTACACAGAAAATGTGTGAGTGCCAGCAGCTCATCCTGCGAGCCAGGTTCCTGGCTGTGGCCTTCATCCTATGGACACTTACACTCATCCTTAATTTATAAGTATTAATAGGCCCATTAGACTTAATGGGCGTGAAGCTAAGTGTGTGTGTAAGTGCGGGAGCAGACCTCAGAGTGGTGCAACAGAGGCAGGCTGTTCTGGGGGGATCTGAGTTCCTCTGCCCCTCTTCCCACACAAAGTTGCTTTTGCTTTTAGGAAGTTTTAAGCAAATTATTTTAGGGTACGTTTTAGGGCTGGGTTTTATTCCTTTTAAAAGGGTGGTTGGCAGAAAAAGAAGAAGTGCTTTTTAATTATTTCTCTGGCATTTCTTCACGCAGTGCCTGAACTTCATCTTCCTCCGGTGTGCGCCGCAGGATCAGGCTGTGTTCAGATGGACATCAGCGTTTTTATTCCAGGTCAAAGCGGTGAAAGGTTGCTGTATGATTTGTCACCTCCCTTTCGATTTTAGTTGTTTATGTCCATAGCTGAACGCCCTGTGCTGCTCGTCTTCATGCGATCTTTGTTTTAATGGCATGACACAGAGTCCAGAGTAGCTTGGATTTGGGTAGAGCCCATGGATTTGGAAAGCTCTGCACAGTGCAGCTTTGGTGATGGTGAAATTCTGGCGTGCGTTGGAACAAATCTTAAGTTTATGAGGAGCTCCGCTGTCTTAATTGGAGTTTTGTCTCCTTGTAAACCAAGCAAACAGAATTTCCCCAGAAGCCACTGAGCCGTGTTGGTAACGAGGGAGGCTGTGAGCCACGCGCATCTCAGCCCTGCAGCCGCTTCCGAGCTGTGCTTCATCCGCACGCAGTGCTTCCCTTCGTGGTGGTGGAACGGCGGCTGTGTGTTCATGGCTAACAGGGGGTCTCAATCTCGGATGCTGAAGCACTCAAGGTTCTCTGGCAGTGCACACATGCGCTCCCTCCTCTGTCTGGGAGGCGTTTGCCCAGAGCTGTGAGTCACTCACGTCTCGTGGTTGCATTTACGTTGCTGGAAAAACAGACCCTAGCTGCTTCATCTGGGTAATGACTGCAGCAGGAGCAGTGGGTTCCCTAAATGATGGATTTTCCCCTTTTGGCTGGAATTAAGAGCGTGACTCAGGCATCCTCTGTGGTCTTCTGGTCCCTAAAGGAAAAGAGACACAGGGGAGGGTTTTATTTTTAAAAGCAGTGAAATCGAATATGCTGAAGAAGAAACCAAGTGTTACGTGAACGCATCTTTTGAATTTTGTGCTGGACAGAATCGTGCTCCCGTTGCATTTTGCCTGTGATTCCTGGAGGCCAGGATTCCACCCGTGGGAATGAGATCACGCTTCACCTTTGGGGATGGCATGTCAAGGATCTGCATTTCTCACAAACCACGGAGCTTTGCAGCTCTGCTGGCACCCTGACCCCAGCGATGTTCCAGGCAAGCAGTTTCTTTTTCTGGCTCATCCAAAGCCATAGCGAGGCAGATGCCTTTCAGTAGGGTGGCAATTGCTCAGTTGATTGCAGGGGTTTCCCACCTGTTCCTTCTGCCTTCAGCTTCATTCCCAGGCTCCTGTAGGATGCAGGAACCAAGAATTTCTCCGCTCCCAAACTGGAGAGCTGTCCCTAGTATTTTCCAATCACAGCTCCCCCCTCCCACCTTCCTGTGCTGAGATGATAAAGAAAAAAAGCAGTAATTAAACGTGGAGCCAATGACGTTATCTTACACAGCGTCAGATTCGTGTGGCTGAGGGCTGCCCTGAAGAGGATGTAAGGAACGCAGCACCAGGTGACTTTCTCTCGAGTCCCTGCTGCAGCCGCCGCCTCTGGAAGCGATGCCTGCCCAGCTCAGCAGGCCGGCAACTGTTTGAGTTCTGCCCCTCCATCTTTAAATCGTTCTGTTTTTAAAGCCCTTTGGTCCCTCCTGGGCTGCGTGGAGGTACAAGAAATGCTCTGAAAAGTCGAATCAGGGCTGGGGGTTCCGCATGACGGTTTGCTGGACTTGTTGTTTGGAGTCATGGTTTACCAACCCGAAAAAGTTGAAAGCAAACAGCCTTCAGCTGCATCATCCCTGCAGCGATGCGTGTGAAAACAACGAGCTGAACGCCTTTCCTTCCCCGTTTGCCCAAGACCAAAGTTCAACGTTCAGAATTCATCTCCTGCGTCAGGTGGGTGCTGCGACACCCGCACAGACGCGGGGGGCAAAGCTCTGCCCTCGGCCCCTGCTGCACTCAGTGACCCCCGGCTGTGGGCGAGGGAGGGGGGGAGCGGCGGGACCCGCGGCGCCGTGCACAGTGCCGGGGGAGGGGAGCCGGGGAGAGGCGAGGGCGCCGTCGTTGCTCCGCAGCCAGCAGAGCGCTGTGTGAACGCTCTCTTACAAATGCTTTATTTTTTAACTATTTTTGCTTATTCTCGATGATCCGTCTTTCAGTATTGGAAAGATCAGCGTGTGCACAGAATAAAAGCCAAACCTTTTAACCTCGAGGGGAGGAGCGTAGGCTGAGATTAAAAGAAAAACGGTTCTTTTCTACGTGTTCGTTCCGTAAATCCGCGCCTGGGGGTGGAATCGCGCTCACGGTTCGCGCGCGTCCCCGGGCGGCGGCGCTGCCGGCAGGGGGCGCTTTCCGCCATGCTCGATTTTCCCGCGCGAATGACGTCACCGTGACGTCGCGTCAACTCGGCGCGCCATTGGTCGCTTCCCGCGCTCCGTCTGCTCCTCCCGGAAGGGAACCGCGGGGCGGGGGGCTCAACCCCCGGGAACCCCCCCCACCGCCCCCCCCCCCCCCCCCCCCCCCCCCCCCCCCCGCAATTCCCCCGGTGCGGCGGTGCGCCGCGCCCCCCGGGGGGTGGTGTCTGGCGGGGGGGGGGGGGGGGGGCACCACGCGGCCCCCGGTACCGGGAAGGGGTGGGGACCCCCCAAAGCCCCCCTGCGGCACCTGGGCGCGATGGGCGCGGCGGCGCTCTGCGGGGTAGGTGGGCACCGGGGGAGGCGGGGGGTTGTGGGGGGGGAGGGGGGCGATGAGAACCGCGCACTCTCCTCCGTTCGCCCCCCCCCCCCCCCCCCCGGCGCCGCAGCACCAGCCGTGCCCCGGCGCCGACCAATGAGCGCGCGCGTTGTTGGCAGGTGCCCCGTGTTTTTGTTTGGGGTTGAAGTTGAGGCCGTAGGAGCTCGGCTCACACCGGGCCCCGGCCGGGCCCCCTCGCCAGCCCCCTCCCTTCCCCCGCACACCCCTCGCCATGCGTAGGGAGATGAACGGCGTCACCAAGAGCCGCTTCGAGGTGAGGCCGTGGCCTCGGCCCGGGGGGCTGCGGGGCCCGGGAGGGGGGGCGGGAGACGGCGCGGGCCGGGGGGAGCGGGGCTGCCTGGGGAGGGGGGGGTCCGGTGGTGAGGGGGCGCAGGGGGTTCCGTTCCCTCCCCCGCAGCCCCGGGGGGACCCGGCGGGCTGCAGTCCGGTGCGGCCTTCCGCGGTGCGGTGTGACGGCTGCGGGGGGGGGGCGGTGCGGGGCTGCGCTGCGGGGACGGATCCCGTCTGCTGCGGTGGGAGCGCTGTGGGTTTATTTGATTTCTGTTGTTATTCTGGTTTTAATTTTGGTTGGGGGTGGCTGTGGGCCGGAGCTGCGTTGTCCCCTTCTTTTGGTCACAAACGCTCATAAAATAAGAGGCGTTGTTTACCCAGCGCCCCTCCCGCACGGCTCGCTAAGCGAGATGCTCGGATGGTGATGGGTGGGGGGGCTGTGCTGATAACCGTCTCCCTAAAGCTGCCCGCGGGCCTTGCCCATCTCAGCTGTGTTGAGAGCAGCGAGGTTTGTGTGCACTGACAGCCCTGAGCCCCCCACCCCCACGTGTCCAAATCTGCCCTGAGGAGAGCTGAGAGCTCCTCGCCTTTAAACGAATCCTTTGTGCTGCGGATGTTTGGGGCAGAAGGGCTGAAACGTTCCCCCCCTTTGCTCAGAAGGGTGCACAGTTGGAGTTGGTGGCACCTTCCAGACAACAACGCCGTGCTGCTTCCAGAGCTCTGTTTGTTGACAAAGAGCCGCTGTTTCATGTGACCTGGGGACAGTGAGGGACAATGGAGCAGAAATCTGCTGAGCGAGGCGCTGCTGGGGGGGGCCCTCATCGGTTCTTATTGGAGTCACAGAGGGGGTGGTGGGCGATGGGCTGAGCGCCTTTTGCTGCGAGGTGTGCGTGGATTCTGTGTGTGCAACTCGAGTGGGGGGTTGGTATTAAAGGAGAGCAGGAGCTGTGAAGTGCCCAGCACAGCCTGTCCTGAAGGCACGGGCAACAAAGAGAAAATAATCCAACAAAGCAAACAAAAAGGCGAGCTTCGCCCGGGTTAACTCTGAATTTTCAGTGGCATTGGTTTAATCTGGAGCAGATCGTGATCTGGATTTCATGTGGGGTTTCCTGTGCTTCCCAAAGCACAACAGATGAGAGGGGAGAGGACAGAAGGGGAGCTGCTTTGAGCTGCTCCAGCCCCTGGTTCCCATTGCTTCTTGCACCTGTTCTGACCACACACACCTGCCTGGGATGCACGTAACTCAGGCACTCAGACCTTCCCCTCCCCTCCAGTGCTCAGACCCCCCCCAGTGCTGTTTTCAGAGCAGAGCAGCTGTTTCCCACTGCTGTCATGGCCCAGACCCAGGAGCAGTGCTGGGTACCAGGCCTGGGGCTGGCAGTGTGAGCAGCGCTGCCCTGCGATGCGCTGAGCCACGTCGTCAGCCCGGAGTAATTACAGCTGTTTTATTTCCAGGCTGTGAGCAATACGTGTAAGTCTCCACTACATCCTCAAACAAAAGCAAAACAAAACACACACACAAAAAAAAAACCAGCAGCAGCCGTCCTGGCTTCCTGCGGGAGCCTTCGAAACCTCCAATTAACTGCAGCCGAATTGGGCTGCGGAGCATTTATGGGGCAGTTTGTGCCGTGGAAAAAAGAAAAGCTGTGGGAGGGAGTGAGAGCCGTGCAGATTCCATCCTTGGGACAGATGCATCCTCAGCTGGGATTTAGGATGCTGACTTTGGGAGCACTCTGACCAGGCTGGCGCAGCTCCTGGGGCTCGCTTGACTTCAGGGCTGCCCTGGGACGAGGTAAGCTGTGTGAGCAGGATGGGAAGCTCGAATTGCTCCTTGGTAATGAGTCCTGTCTGCACTCAGGGTGATGTCAGTTTTCCTAATCCCGTTCTGGAGCGCAGGGCTCCATCTCCACGTGCTTCCCGTGTTTCCGTTTTGGGGCTCTTTGTTTGCTGTGCTCCAGGCTGGGCTTTGTGGCAGCGCTGGGGCTGTGTGAGCAGAGGGGCGCAGCAGGAGCAGGGTTTGTAACCGGGCATCGCGCAGCCTCTGCTTGCTGGGAGGGAGGGAATGGATCAGAACCCATCGTGTCTGACATGTGGCAAAAGAGAAGAGAAAGCCCTGCTGAGTGAAGGCAGTGTGGGGCTCGGGGGTCAGAGCAGCTTTCCTACAGCAGGGAGGGGGCGGTGGGGAGGGCGGTCGGTGCCCAACGTTGGGGTGGAGGTGTGGAAGCTGAGCGTTTCCCTGCTCTCCTGTTTGTTGTCCCCATTGTGTTTGGTGTTGCTTCGTGCCCCCGCTCCTGAAGGCAGCAGAGAAGTAAGCAGAGTTCCTGCAGATCCATCTGCAGAGCGATGGTTGAACAGTGGAGATGAGGAGCGGTTGAACATTACCTGTGTTACATTTGCCTGTGGCGCTGGTTGGGCAGCTGAGCTGCAAACACCCTGGGAGGGCTGGGGGGGTTTGGGGGCTGCAGGAGGGTCGGGTGCAGCTCAGCTGCTCGGTGCTTCCCTCTGCGCTATGGGGCTGGTGATGTTTGGGGAGCAGCGCGTTGGGAAACGAGCTGCCTTCTCTTTATCAGCAGGGAAACCAACCTGGGCTGCTTTTCATTTGCATCCTTTTGTTCAGTGGCGTTGGGGCGGGTTTCGGCCTCCCGGTGCTTTGTGTCCCGCCGTAATTAGGGAGAGCTTTACGAGCCGTGGATTAAATGAGCGGCTGCTCGACCTCGCCGTGTCACCTGCAGGAACTGCCTGTGTCGCAAGTGCGGGCTGTTTGTTCCCAGCTGGGATCGTTGGGCAAGAGAGGGGGGAGAATCACAGAGTCATTAAGGTCAGAAAAAACCCCTCAGACCCCCCGGCCAACCCTGGTCCGTCCCACTGTGCCCAAGTGCCGCGTCCCCGCGTGCTGGGACACCTCTGGGCACGGTGACTCCCCACCACGCTGCTCCTGGCTGCTCTTAGGATGCTCAGCCTGACCTCCCAGCGCAGCCTTGTGCCACAGTTGGGTTTGGTTGTGCCTTGCAGCCTGCCTGACAGGCACAGGGCCGGCCTGCGTGTCGCCATGCCTTGTGCTGCTTTAGATACCAGTCTTAATTGGGGCCCGGGCTGTAATGCCTAATTACTGTTTTCACTGCTGGATCGCCTTGCCCAGCATTGCACCTGAGTCACTGCATTGGGAAAGCCGATGTGACGCGCAGCAGGGCCGGTCCCAGCTGGGCCACCCCACACCCATTGCAGTGGGTCAGGACGTATCTGTGGGGTCTGTGCCCACAGCACTGTCACCATCATCACGGTGGCACTCAGAGCTGGATGTGAAGCTGGCACAGCAGTGCTCACACACAACTGGAGGCCGTGGGAAGAGGCAGCAGAGCTTCAATCAGATCTGTGTGATAGGCGACGAAACGCCCTGTGGCCCAAACGTTGGGGGCTTTTAATGGAGCTCAGAAACAGCACCAAAACACTGGGTTAAATAAAAAGCACAACATAACAGGTGCTCGAAATCACATTTGGTGGCAGCACGGACAGCCCGTGTGGTTCCCATGGGGTTCCCTGTGTGGTTTGTGTGAAGCATTGCGTGCCTCTGCAGGGGATGGGGGAGAGCTGTGCCATTCTGGGCTGCTCCATCTCAGTGCCCCGTGATCCCACTGCTGGCCTGGCTCCTTCTGACTTTGCTATGGATGCAGCCCGTGGTTGGGCTGCAGGAAGGGAGCTCCTCACCCCATCCCTCCATACAGAGCTGCTCCAAGGCAGATGAAGCAGCGATCTGATGGTGTACGTTGGGCAGATCACACACACAGCTATTTTTAGGGATATTGAGCCCATAATCAGCCTGGCCGGTCAGGAGCTGATTCCCTTCTCCTCTCCCTGCTTAGTCACACCGGGGTCAGTGGTGCCACAGAGGTGCATGCAGCAGCAGTGGGGCTCGGTGGCATCCCTGCACATCCCTCACTTATGGCTGCAGGGAGCCCCTGTGTGCACAGACAGCTGCTGCTCTGCGGGGACGTTCCCTGCTCCCACCGTGGCTCTGTGCATCTCTGCTGGGAGCAGAGCTGAGCTCATGCACAAAGCACACTGGGGTGCAGCACAGCCAGGGCTGAATCCACGCTGATGTTTCTGATTCTTCCATTTCAGGGCAGCAAAAGGTTCCTTCTGAGCTGGGGAGGTGGATCTGTGACACATCTCCATGCAGGCTGGGTGGGGATGTAAGAGGCAAAGCATGCAGCTGTGCTTGTAATCCCTAATTTATAATGGCAACTGTTGGCCCTCCACCTTTCCTCGCTTAAAAACAAATTCCAGAATGTGTTATTTACCCTCTAATGATTGCAGCCCACTTTTTGATTACTCAGTTTCCTGTGGCTGGAAGCAGTTGTGCAGGGTTGGGACAGGGGGTGCCGAGCATCTCAGCTGCCTACTACACATCTCCCCCTTCAACTTCCCCCACAGAGGGTCTGCATTGGGTGCAGTGTTCCGTGCAGTGCTGGTCCCTCCTGGGAGCCTGATGACATGCACAGGGTTTTCCTTGAGCACACTGGTTGGGCTGCCCCCAGCAGCTCCCTCCCCGCAGCGGGTTTTGTTTCCATAAGGAAAATGTATGGCCAACCTGCTGTTGTTGTTCTTGTTACAGATGTTCTCAAACAATGATGAAGCTGTGATCAACAAGAAGCTTCCCAAAGAGCTGCTGCTGCGGTAAGAGCCTCCCTGGATCAGTGCTCTGTGCTGTCAGTGGGAGGCACCAGCCAGGCTCAGGTCCTGGCAGAGCTGCAAGCAAGGAGAAGCAAAGAGAGCACAGTGTGCTCCAGCACTTCATGCTGAGTGTTGATTTGCTGGGTGCCTGTTCTGTGGATGGGAGAGGTGTAGGGCTGAACAGGTTCCTTAATGAAAGTGGATGGAGAGAGCAGCGTGGCACTCAGACCCAGCAGGCAGGGAGGGGAGTGGGATGGGGAGCAGATGTGGTCAGGATGGGGACAGAGGAGCAGCGTCACGGGGAGCACTGGGGGTCAGTGGGGTGAGGAGGTGGGGGTCTGGGGGTGGTTTGGTGTCCCCGTGTCACTGCTGTGCCACAGGTGGCACCTGGGCAATAGGAGGAGGTGGAGTTTATAAACGTTAAGGTTCATACGTGATGGTTTTGAGAGCTGGAATCCACTGTGAGCATACTGTGCAAATTAATCAGCGTGGATTGACAGTGCGGCCTTTGAAAGAGAAACTTGGATGCGTTTATCTGCAGGAATCTCCTGTAAATGTGTCACTGTCTGTGAGACAAAGACGTGTGTGTCTGAGCAGCACTACAGCGTGGTGCCTTGTTCCCCAATTTGTTCATTCTGCAGATGGCATCGACGCCTCGTGTGTGTGGTTGCAAAGGAAGAAAGCTGTGCTTGAGCAAAATAAAGAGGGGGTGGATGTGAAAGAGGGGAACAGTGGCCTTTGTCCCACCCTGAGCTCCAGAAATGTGTGGCTCCAGCAGTGGCTCCCTGCCTGGGAGCTGGGCTGGCTGTGGGAGGGCTGTGGGGGGCTGCAGGACCTCGCCAGCCCCTCCCTGGAACCCCTCAGGTCCTGCCTGGGTTGAGGTTGGGGTTGGAGCTCCTGCTCCCGGCTGGGGTCTCTCCCAGCTCCCTGCTGCTGGAGAGTTGCTGACCCTCAGCTGGCTGCAGTGGGAAAGTGAGGAGTGCCAGGCAATCCCCGATGGATGAAGGGGCTGAGAAGTGTTCTGACTGCATCGCATTGTGGATGTGCTGCCAGAGCCAGGCTGGGAGGCGTAGCCCCATCCTCACCGTGCTGAGCTGCCTCACCATGAAATCCTTCACCTGATCGGCACCAGAGCTGTCTGAGCCCCAGCTGGGAGCACTCAGCGCTCCCCTCCCCTCCCCATCCGATGGTGGAGCTGCCTTGGGATCATCCAGGAGGAATTCTGGTGTCCTGCTCTCACTGAGAGCACCCAGAGCTGCTCAGCAGAGTGCCGTGCAGGCTCCCTTCCCTCCCTTCCACCCCCAGAGCCGCTCACCAGCTTGGCTTTTCTTGAGCTGAGCTCAGGTGAACACAAAGGTTCCCTTTGCTCTGTTGCACCCCATGCAGGTCGCTCATCCCACACTGTAGCCATGTGAAGGAGGGCTGCGGTTCAGTGGCTGCTGAGCCCCACGGGCAGCTCCCTGGTGGGCTTTGGGGTTTTGCAGCTGCCCAGCTGCATCCCTGCTGCGCTCCCAGGAGCTCAGCGCTGTGCTGCGGGACGGAGCCGTGCTGCTGCTCTCCTGGGGCTGTGCCAATGGCTGAGGCTGAACTGACCAAAGTGCAGAGCGGAGCCACGGCCGCTGCTGAGAGCAGCGTGTGAGGCTGGGTGTGCTGAGTCACTGCTCCGCTCTGAGCCAACGTCAGAGCAGTGCAGAAAACACAGAGGAATGCTCCGTGAGCGCTTTGGGAGGCAGAAGTCCCCAGGCTCTGTCTGTGAGCACAAGGCTCGGAGGGGAAGGGGGGCGAGCAGGAGGGCAGAGGGGTGCGAATCCCCGAGATGAGGAGCAGGCAGAAAGGTTTGGCTCCCCAAAAGGAGGAGCCCCGGGCCCTGGTGGAGCTCCCAGGTGTTGCACTGGGAAGCCGTGCGGTGCTGTGCTGGCATCCCCTGTGCTGGGCGTAGGCTGGGAAGGGAGGAGCAGGAAGCAGGAAGGAGTTGGGCCAGGACCCAAAGCACTGACAGGAGGATGAGGAGGTTATTAATAGCCTGGGATTTCCGTGGAGAAAGTGATTTTTATGAAAGTGCAGAAATGGAGCCCCGTTGTTGGCTTAGCTGCTGTTCCCATGGACTTGGGGTGGGTCTTTGTGTTGCTCTGGTGGGAATCTGGGGTAAAAGTAGGAATTTTCCCTCGCTTCTCTCATTTCCCTCAGCTTTCCTTGTATTGTTGTGCACGGACGTTGTGCTGAATGCACCCCCAGTGGGCACACAAATAGCATTTGATCCAAGGGAGGGCTGGGTGAGCAGTCCAAGTTTTTGGGGCGGCGGGGCATTGCTCGTTCTCAGAGCTCCCCTTGGATGCTGTGTTATCAGGCAATTCCTGCTCGCTCCAACCCCTTTTATGTTTTTTTTTCCTCACACGTTCTGCCTCGTAAATGCAGGTAACACAAAGATCTCTTTTCCATTTCCGTTGCAGGATTTTCTCTTTCCTGGATGTGGTCACTCTGTGTCGCTGTGCTCAGGTCTCCCGGGTAAGAACCTCCTCCTGCTGCAGGGCCCCCCCAGCACCTGCACAGGGCTTTGTGGTGGGGAGCTTTGCACACTGACTGCTCCAACTGCTGCCTTGTAAAGTCAATGCAGAGCTGCAGCACCGTCACACAGTGAGATGCGTTGCGATTTGCACCCACTGATAAGTGCCCTTTCCTCTGGAGCTGCTGGGCGTCCTTTTGGCAATAACCAGACCTTAAAACAAACACAGGTTTATAACACAGGGAGTCCATGGGCTCTCACAGTTCTCTCTGCTGGTGTCAGCCTGCCTGGCTTGCACAAGAGCTGCTGTTGTGCTGGAGGTGCAGCCCGGCGCTCACAGTGGGTGTGCTACAAAAATACGCCTATGCACAAACATTGCTGCACTCTTTCTTAATGCTGGCCGTGATGAGATTCAGCTGTTTGCTTTGCTGATGTAATTACAACTTTGAACACAGCACCGTGCTGAAAACCTTCTTGGTTGATAAAGAGTAAAATAACCGATTGCTGGTAGTGGGCAGGATGGGGGGGGGGGGGGGGGCGGCCCTGGAGCTGTGGGTGCCTGAGGCCACGGGTGGGCCCTGGGCCTGGTGGAGGCAGTCAGCCCATGGCAGGATGGGGGGCTTCAACCCAACCCAGCTGGTGGTTCCGTGAGCTCTGAGGTCCCATCCAAGGCAAAGCTGCTGGTGGTTCCCTGGGCTGTGAGGCCCCACACACCGTGCTCACAGTGAGCACGGACCGAGCTGTTCTCGTTGGCTCTAATTGTTGTGTTGCCATCTGAGGCAGAACGGTTGTTTCTGAAAGGAACAAGCTGTAACTGGGTCCCCCGTGTCGGGTTGTTGGTATTTTTCATATTAACCAGACATTTACATTTTTTCCTCCAATAAAGGCATGGAATGTTCTGGCCCTGGATGGCAGTAACTGGCAGCGAATTGACCTGTTTGATTTCCAGAGGGATATTGAGGTATAATTAAGTGACATACAAACCCATTTTTCTTGCTGAAATGTAATTACAGCCTAGCACGGATTAATGCTCCCTGCACAGCCCTTCCTGCCTTCCCCAGAGACAGAAATCATTAATTTCAGTTCGTGGCCCCGGGGAGTCGTTATGGGCTCACAACCCATTCAGCTTTAGAAAATGGATGGGATTCCATATCTGTATCAAAGCATAAAGGATGGCAATAGGAGGGACGTTGTGAAGGCAGAGGTGGAGCAGCTGGGAGAGCTGTGCTGCTCCTGGAGCATGGCCTGCACATCTTCCCTGTCTCCAGTTCCCAAACCTGCAGTCCTGGGGGGGGCTGCCTGGGCTCAGAGCCCTTCCCCATCGATGCAGCGTTAGGAATCCTCCCTTGCTGTTGTTCTGATCTGTTGGATGTGGTCTTGTTGGCACCGACAGGATGAGGTGCTGAGGAGCAGTGGGTGCTGTTGTCACGTTGTTTAAACGGTGAAGTTGCATTTATAGGGATAAAAGACCCCAACACAGCACCAAAACCCCTCTATTCTTCCTGGAACGTTTCTGTTCCCTTGAAAACCTTTTAGAGAAGGGAGGTAAGGAGTGTCTCGTTCTGACTCTGTGCAGAGTGGTGTCAGGTGGATGGGAACAGCAGTGTGGGGGAGCAGGGAGGTGCAGATGGTGTTTATGGAGGAAGGAGTTAAAGCAGTCTGTGCAGGGCTGGGCTCAGCCCCTCAGTGCTGCAGGAAGCACAGCAGCTGTGATTGCTGCTCCTGATAACTGATCCTCCTCTCCCAAGTGCCCTGCGCCTTCTGCCCCATGGAAGCGCTGCATCCCACAGCCAGAGCTGCCCTCTCCAGGGGGGCAGAGGGGGATTGCTCACCTTCTGGGAGCTGTGAACGTCTCCACCACCACCCTGTGTCAGACGTGTTCCTCCACGAGCACCAAATTCCCCTTTTAAGACAAAACACTGCCATGCGTGGCGTGGAACCTCGAGGCACCTGCTGGGCTTAATGGTGGCCTGAATTATGTTTGCTCTGAAGCTGTGTCACTCCGACCTCTGGCACAAACTCCACCTGTAGTCAGACTTACTCAGATCCTCCTGTTGAAGGGTAGGAACTCATAGCTTGCTAGGGGAGCTGCTCGTCCTGTTTCAGTCTTTCCCGGAGCCATAGGGCAGACTCAGCCCCACACCGCCCCAGCTGTGCCCCAGCTGTTCCCCAGCTGTGCCCCCAGCTGTTGCACATCCCGTAGAGGTGGGCACCAGCTGTTCTGAGACACACAGCTGCGGCGGAGCTGCTGTCCCACTTCCAGCTGTGCATGACGTTGGGCCTGGTGGTGGATTATTGATTGATTGCCTGGTTGGAAAAAGATTTTAGGAAAACATCTTCAGTGCTGCAGGGCTCCTCGGTGCCTCCCAGCGCTTGGGGAATGGAGAGGGGGTCCTGCTGCGTGGGGAGCAGCCACAGGATAAAGCAGGGGACAGCAGCTGGGAGTGCTGCACGCTGTGCCAATGTTCTCTCAGGCTTTCCCTGCTCAGCCCACCTGCGGCCTGCCTGCAGGTTGTCCCGATGGAGCTTTGTTCTCCAAGGGCCATTTTAGGTAGAATAACAAACTGCTGAGCGCACACAGCTCTCCATTGGTGCTGCAGGTCTTTGGGATGTTAACGTGGCCCCTTCTGTCCTCACCAGGGCCGAGTGGTGGAGAACATCTCGAAGAGGTGCGGGGGGTTCCTGAGGAAGCTGAGCCTGCGTGGCTGCCAGGGAGTCGGGGACAACGCACTGAGGTAGAGCCATGGCACAGAGGGGCCCTGCAGCCCATGGGAGTGGGTTTGGGGGGCAGCAGAGCAAGGATCCACAGCGCTGTGTCCGACATAAAGCGCTCAGAGCAGCGATGTCTGCATTTCTCAGCGATCATCTCACCTTCGCACTGTGATGTTGCCCTCAAGGCCGAATGACAAAGAGTGGGAGATCCCAGGGCGAGTGATGGCCAACACAAATGATCTATTTCATTCTGTCTTTATTTCTTTTACTTGAGCCCATCCGGTCGAGTTGTAGCTGCTGCGCTCACGGAACGCAGCACAACACTGGGAAACCCATTGGCTGACAAGAGCTGTGTTTTGCCTTTCCTTTCCTAAAGGACCTTTGCACAGAACTGCAGGAATATCGAAGTGCTGAACCTGAACGGCTGCACCAAAATCACAGATGCGTGAGTGCCAGCTCCTCTCTATTCCTCCCTTCTCCCTTTCCGTGCTGTGCATCACGAGGAGTGTGCAGGGCTCAGGGTAAACCCAGCACGCTGCTGTTCTCTGTTCTCCTCCAGCACGTGCACCAGCCTCAGTAAGTTCTGCTCCAAACTCCGGCACCTGGACCTGGCGTCCTGCACCTCCATCACCAACCTGTCCCTGAAGGCACTCAGGTAGGAGGACACGGCCGACCTGACCCGAAAGTGCTGGGATGGGAGGGCAGAGGGACTGATGGTGGCACTGCGTGGTCCTGCAGAGGAGCTGGGAGCTGAGCTGTGGCTGTGCAGAGTTCAGATCCCTGCAGGGCTTTGGGGATTCCAGCTGGCCCTGTCGGTCCTGGTGGTGGTTAGCAGAAGCGTTACGTTGCGTTCAGGACGTGGAGGTGAACCCAAAAAGTCACCCTGCCTTTCTTCAAAGCTCCTCCTGTGTTTCCAGCCTGCTCCTGCTCTGTCAGGGTGCTGCTGAGTGTTTACATAGCTGGGAGGTGAACGTGTGACTGTTTGTCTTTCTGAACTGCTTAGGAGACACAGCACTGCCCAATCTGCTGCGTGGCGTGGCCAAGTGGTCTGGGAAAGGAAGGGAAAGGCAGACATTGGTGGGAGGTGTTGGGAGGCACAAAACTCCCAAAGGGAGCAATGAGGGCTGAGGTGTCACCAGAAGGGTTTCAACTGATATCCCAGCAATCAAACACAAGAAAACAGCATTACAGGGAACATAATCTGAGGATTAGTCTGGACACCAAAAGGAAAGGCAGATTTGAAAGGATAACTGAACAGTTAAGTTATCTTTGTAGCTGCGTGAAAATAGTTGGAGCCCCCTTGTGGGTCTTCATTTGCATCCCTAATTTCACGTGGGCAGGTTTGTGCTGCAGAAGTCCACCTGGATGGGAGCTGCTGGTGGAAATCAGCCCAGCGTTGGGTTATGGCTGAGGGTGTGTTGAGGTGCAGGATGCACACGGGCTGTGCTGTCCTTGTGCAGGAACCAGGAGGTGTCTGAATGGGGGGCAGCATTCAGGGCTGGCCCTGCTGCTCCCTGCTCAGAGCTCCTGCTGCTGCCCCTGCGGGCTCTGACCGTTAATAGAGGGGCCCCATTGCTGTGGGGTGCAGGTGCCACTCAGAAATGGGGTTTTCCTGGATTCTGACTTGAAGGATTTCCTTCTAACACAAAGCCAAAAGCTTCCAGCCTTCTCCTCTCACCTCTCCAGTGAGGGCTGCCCGTTGCTGGAGCAGCTCAACATCTCCTGGTGTGACCAAGTGACCAAGGATGGCGTCCAGGCACTGGTGAGGGGCTGCGGGGGCCTCAAAGCGCTGTCCCTGAAGGGCTGCACACAGGTATGGGGCAATGGGACCCAGGGACGACGGCTGGCTGGTCCCTGCTGGGCTGGCTGTGGGTGGCAGGGGTGGCTGCTGCTCCCTTGGGATGCGTGAGCGCCCTGCCAGCGCCTGCAGCTGCCTCTTGGTTTGCTCTGTGTCACATCTCAAATCTCAGCCTTGGGAAGGGAGAGCAGCAGTGACCACAGCTGAAAGCTGTCTGCAGGCAGCTCTGGTTGGAGCTGGGGTTACCTGCTGGGTAGACCTGGCAGCCAAACTGCTCCTGGTGCCCAGGCTCTGTGTTTTGCATTTATTTTTCTCTTGGGGTTTGCATTCCTCAAGTGTGAGTCACCACCATTTCCATCTGCTGCCTATAGATAAACTGCTGCAGGTACAAAAAGCGCATTTCTCCATGCAAGGGCGCCGAGTCCTGAAGGGTGGCCATGATAAGGGCAGCACTGACACGTGGTTTGTGCAGGGAGACACTCGTGTGTCACACAAATGGCTGTGAGGACTGGAGCTGGTGGCATCTCATCCTGTTTGGAGGGCTGAGGTCGGAGGAACAGCTTGAGTTTCTCATCATTTACAGAGCCACGAGTAATATTGATGGCAATACATCCTCGCAATCAATTGCTTTGCCATCTGTTCTTATGGATTTAAGAATAGCTAGCTTTTTTTTTTTAATCATCCTAAGGAACCCTGGGTGTGTTTGTGCTCCTCAAACTGAAATAATGCTCTCTATTTTTCTGAGAGCTCCCCTGTTGCCATATAGAGGTGGTGTCACTTGTGGCCTCGGTTGGCAGAGCGCAGCCCTCATTCCTGGGGCTGGTTTGTGACCCCACTGCTGGCTTTGTTCCTGCCATGTGTGTGCCTGGGTCTGCCTCCCCCTCAGGCAGCACTGGGCTGTGGGTCTTTGCACTCCATTCCTGCAGCAGTGGAAGCGGCGCTGTGCTCCTCCCATGCAGTGCACTGCCCTCCTCCTACACAGCCACCCCATCCCCACGTTTCCTTGTCCCCAAATCTTTCTTTGGAGCACTGCTTCAAGCATTGCAGCGTTGCTTCACTCTCTGATTTTTCTTCCCAGCTCGAGGACGAAGCTCTCAAATACATCGGTGCAAACTGTCCTGAATTGGTGACGTTAAACCTCCAGACGTGCTTAGTAAGTACCACACCGTGCTCCCAGTGGTGCACACAGCTGTGCACTGCCAAGCCTTTTAAAAAGAGCTGATTTGAAACAGCTTTTTTGGGAGTGCTCATCAGCCCCAGGTGCAGCACTGGGTTTGGTGGAAGCGTTGTTCTCCTTGCCCTGCCTGCAGGGCTGCTGAGCTCCTGTGCTGCAAGCATTCTTTCCACAGGGTTGGAATGCTGGCGGTGCTCAGCCAGTCCTGCACTGCTCCAAGAGCAGCAGTTCCCCTGCGGGATTCCAGAGCAAATGTCTGTTTGCACCCAAAAGGTGTTTGGGGTGGGCTGTGTGCACACTGTGTGCCTGCTGCAGGCAGAGCAGGGCAGCAGCCCCGGGCTGTAGGGCTGACTGCAGTTTGAGAAGCACAGCGTGGCATCAGTTACGTTCCTGGTTGGAAACCCAAGAGGAAAACACGCAGCGCGGCGCAGCTCCACTCCTCTGTTATTCCTTGTGATGGTGTTGTTGTTTTTCTTGTAGCAAATAACAGATGATGGTCTCATTACAATATGCAGAGGATGCCACAAGCTGCAATCGCTGTGCGCCTCGGGCTGCTGCAACATTACAGATGCCATCCTGAACGCCCTGGGACAGAACTGCCCGAGGCTCAGGTAAGGCCTTGGTGCAGAGCTGAGGGCTGCGTGGGGCTGCTCAGAGCTGGGGCTGCTGCTGGAGCTGCTCCTGGTTGCACCAAGCTGTGCTTTCTCAATCAGAGCAGTGGGAGGAGAGCTCCGTGCCGCGGTGGTGCGCTGCAGCAGTCTCTCTTTAAACCTTTGCATGTCTGTGTCTGCTCTGTAATATATTTTTTTTTAATGGAAAACAGTTGAGGTCAGGTCAGTTCTGTGCTGAGAACACATTGAAACACCACTGTTTCCTCCTGGTGTGATGATGGCAGGCTTCTCACTGGGACTTTATGGCAGATGGAGTTGGTGCTGAAGGAGCAGGCTCCCAGCTCCCAGCAGCCTCTTGCTTTCTACTAAAACCTTTTTGTCAGGGCAGGTTCCTCCTGGAGGACTTTGCTGTAATTTGGTTCTGTTCCTCCACGCCCCTGTTTCTGTATGTGGGGGTATTTCTGTGCATTCAGGTGCTGTGGGTGGGTGCTCTGAAGGCAGATCTCCTCCACACTCACTCTCCATTCATTCTGTGCAGAATATTAGAAGTCGCCAGGTGCTCCCAGCTGACAGACGTGGGCTTCACGACTCTGGCCAGGGTGAGTGCTCCTTCATGGGGGTGAAAGCTTTGCTTCCTGTGTGACCCCCTCTCTGAACCCAGCTTTGTGTGGTGTGGGTGGGAGGCAGCGTCCTGTGGGGTGTCCCACACACCTCACAGCCACCAAAGGGCAACGTTGGATGCATCACCATTACCAAATGTTTGCTGTTCAGGGTTGAGCTGTGCTCCACGTGACCAACCCTGCGTTTAACCTCCTTTTCTTTCTATGAATTAACAAAAACTCATTGAAATGAGTGACGTCTGTTGGATTTCTTCTCATGGTGTTCATTGAGAAGCAGCAAACTTTCTTTTCTCTCCTGCTATTCCGTGGGGAAGAACCTCTGTTCCTGCCGAGGGCTTTGTGTGCTGCAGGTGTTTGGTTTTGCTGCCTGAACTTTGCACTCACTCGGTGTGTTTGCTCCTCTGTTTGTTCCCAGAACTGCCACGAGCTTGAAAAAATGGACCTGGAGGAGTGTGTCCAGGTAGGAGCTGCTGCTCTGCGGTCACACTGCTGCTTCCTCACTTATTGCACAATGGCAGCAGTGCAGAAAGGTGGTGAAAAAGCAGCAGGTTGGGTCCAGATGGAGCTTCCCTTTGAATCCTGGGCAAAAAGATGGTCCAGGATCTGGATGAGGAAACGCTGCCTTTGTAGTTGAGTTCTTTGTATTTCGTATGACTTAATGCTGCTGTGCCCCTCCTGGTGGAAGGGATCTGAACACCTCCTGCACTCAGACATTTCAGACACAGACACTATGGAGGGGTTTGGGGGCTGCAAACTGGGCACCTGTTTGCCATTGTTCCTTGGTAGGGATGGGCAAAAGGTCCTCGTGCAAAGCACACAGCACAAAGAGGCCCTGTTCTTTTTGCAGATAACAGACAGCACGCTAATCCAGCTCTCCATACATTGTCCACGGCTCCAGGTTCTGGTGAGTAGAGTGACACTTGTAGTGTTTTCTTCCTCCAAATGAGGGATTTCATGCACTGCCTGTGGGAATGTGTCTCTTTGACTTCGTGGACACATCATGAAGAACTCAGCTGAGCATCTCACCCTTAGGAACCCGTTGTCCCTCTGCTGCTGCTGGCAGTAGTTGGCCTCCAGGCACCCACAGCTGCCAGGCAGTGAGTCCTGGGATGCTGGGTGCTCCTGGTAGGGTTTTCCCCACCTGTTCAATAGGAGCTGTCCCTAAGATGGCTGTCAGTCCGTCTGGAGGAACAGAGCCCTTCTCACCTCTAACACAGCTGGGCACCTGAGGGCTGCAGAGCTCACAGGCTCCGGAGAGCAGTGCTGCTTCTCTTGGGCTGTGTTTCTGGGAGTTGAGTCTGTCTCCATCTCTGTTCCCCCCCCCTCCATGAGCTTTGCCTCCTTGCCATCGTGGTGGAGGGCACAGGGTGCAGTCTGTGGGCTCTCCCCCTCAGCTGTGCCCCCGCAGAGCTCCGGGCTGATGCCATTTCCAGCTCAAGCCCTGCTTCCTTTCCCAGCACCTTTAGGACGCAGCCCCCAGAAGTGCACAAAGCAGGTGACGTTCTATTTCTGCAGGTGTTTAGAGCCCTGGCTATGATGTGCAAGGCCACAGAGGTTTTACAAAGCTGGTTTCTTTGATAGCAGAGGTATTTATCCCATTCCTTGCAGTAAGTGCCTGCCGCCCTCTCTCCTGGGTCTCTCCTCTCACCGCCTCTCCGCTCCCTCCAGCCACACGAATTCCCCCTCGCAGGCGCTGCTGCGTCACCTGGAGCTTTGCTGCAGCTCCGGCGCACAGAGCGAGCCCAGATCTGTGCCAAACAGCCACGTGTGCCTACAGAGCACCGGCCAGCTTCTCTCTCATCCCCAGTGCCCCCAGCAGAGCGTTGGCCGCCCCTTGCCGGGGGCTCACAGCCTCTGTTTGGGTGCAGAGTTTGTCCCACTGCGAGCTGATCACGGATGATGGCATTCGCCACCTGGGGAACGGCGCCTGCGCCCACGACCGCCTGGAGGTGATCGAGTTGGACAACTGCCCCCTGATCACCGACGCTTCCCTGGAGCACCTGAAGAGCTGCCACAGCCTGGAGAGGATAGAGCTGTACGACTGCCAGCAGATCACGCGGGCGGGGATCAAGAGACTCAGGGTAAGAGCGTGAGGCTGGAGCTGGGAGGCTTCTGGGGGGAAGAGAAGGGCTGTGGCTGTGGATTCGCGTTCAGAGCTCCCCGTTCCTGGGGCAGAATGCAGGGGTGGTGCTCGTTCTGTAAAGTATCCTGAGAGCCATCGCCTGTAAAATGCATGGCAGTCCTGTGTTCAGAACGTGGGATGAGCCCTAACTCTTCCGGAAGGAGCGTGATTGGAGAAAGAAATCACTGGGTCGTTAAGGTTGGAAAAGATCCCTGAGACCCCCACATCCAACCCAGCCCCTCCGTGCCACATCCCCACGGTGCTGGAGCTCCCCCTGGGACAGTGACCCCCCTAATGCCCCCCAGGCAGTCTGTGCTGGTGTCTGACTGCTCTTCGGGGAAGAAATCGTTCCTAAAGTCCAACCTGACCTTCCCTGGTGCAACGTGAGGCCATCTGCTCTCATTCTACACCTCTTGTTCTGCCCACTCAGTGGTAGCAGGAGGAGAGGGGACTCAGTGCGCAGTGTCATTCCATGAGCGCTCACCCCTGGCACTGCTTCTGTAGACCAGGGCTGTGTGTCAGCAGCCAGCAGAGCAGCACAGCACCCCTCCATGCTCCGTGCTGTGACCCTCAGACAGCAGCGATGAACCGAAACCACCCAGCTGTGCTGTGCAGGAGGTCACCTGCTGCTGCTGCCGCCCTGCTGCTGCCCCTCCACGTGCTGTGCTTCTCTTCCAGACCCATTTACCCAACATCAAAGTCCACGCTTACTTCGCGCCGGTGACACCGCCTCCATCGGTCGGGGGCAGCCGACAGCGCTTCTGCAGATGTTGCATCATCCTATGACACTGGAAGCAGCCATCCCTGCAAACTGAGTATTTAATGACACCTCTGGAGCAACGGTGGACAGCTGTACCTTCGAGGAGGGCGATGCGGTGTCGTTTGCAAGGGGCAGCCAGCGGGCAGCGGCGCCGGCCCCTGGAGCCACCCATACACATCCATATTCACACCCCACCTGTTCCAGCAGACGGATGAACTCTGCGGTCTGGGGCTGGAGCTCTTGGCTTTTCTGTAGGTGGATTGGTATAATTCTGAACCATTCCTGCTGGGCATGCTCAGACGAAGTCATTGCGGTGAGGAGGGGAGATGTTTGCAAACCCAAAACGACTGTTGCTGCTGTAGAGGTTAGAAAGTCATGGCGACCCTTGGAAACAGGGAGAGAAAGGGAGGTGCTTTATCCCTGCATCCGTTGTCCAGGTGGAAAAAAAAAAAAAGCAAAGGAACAAACTGAGCAAACTGACAGCCCCACGTTGTGTGTCTGCTTCTGAGCGAGGGGTGGAGGAGCAGCAGTGAGAGATGGGAGCCCTGCTGCTGCCATCCCTGCTGACCCCCTGGGCCCCCCATCGCAGGTTCGTCTGCTGCTCCTGCGTCCCGTGGCTCAGAGGCTCCAGAGGTGTTGTGCTGTAGCTCGGGATCTGCACCGTCAGGCTCTGGTTTTGCCCTTCCCGCGCCCCACTTTTTGGTTTTTGGTTGGTTTTTGTTGTTGTTGTTTCTTCCCATTTGTCATTTGGTAACTTTGAGATTTACCAAATCAAAAGAAGTTTAGGGAAAGCCATTTAAATTTAAAAAAAAAATCCTCATTTTTTTTTTTAAACTGCTGGCAGCCTGAGCCTGCAATGAGCTGATGGAAAAAGTGATTGGAATCCCAGGTTTTCTCCCGGTGATGAGGACGTAACTCTTTGCTATAGGGGACAAGCTCTAGCCTCTGCTCCAGCGCTGCTTCTGCTGTCCTTTCCCTCCAATCCCTCATCCCCTTCCCACGAGGAAAATAAACACGGAACCTTTTTGCTGATTGTCCTGGTCCAGAGCTCCTGCCTCCCTGTGTCCCTGGAGCAGGAGCAGCAGCAGGGCCGGCCACAGCTTGTCGCCCATCGCCGTCCCGTTGTGCAGCAGCGCTGGGCAGTTGTGCTGCGTTGCCCACAGGTAAGTGCTGCCCTGGAAGAACCAGCTGGAGGCAGAGAGGCTGCGCTGCGCCCCAACAGCAGTCGGGGTCGTGCTGGGAGCAGCGGTGGCGCCGGTGCTTGGGGTGAGGTTGACCCAGAGCGAGCTTCCCGTTGGTGGGGCAGAACGCAGGGGTGCCGTGGGGGCAGAGCAGGGTGGTGGGGATGAGCTGAGGGGTCTGGCACGGCTCTGTTCCTGCTGCCTGCACCCCGGGTTGGAAGGGAGAGGGCACGTTTATGGGATGGATCCCAGCTGAGAGGAGCGGGTCCGGTAAGCAGCTGAGCTGCCCGCAGCCCTGCGAGCGGTGCTTCACCTTCCTGCTGCCTGTGCGGCCCCAGGGAGCGCAGCTTTTGGCCGCGGTTTGCCCTGAGGACGGAGCCACCCCCAGGGCTGCACAGCGGCCGTCTCCCCTTCCCCTCCAACTCAGATTCCCCGACCCGTCGGTGTAGTTTAACGTCTCAGATGCGCTGACTGGTGGAAGGAAATCACACGTACGCTGTGTTTAAAAGGATACTGTCAATTCCTTTCCTCTAGATGGCTTTTAATGCATTCTATTTATTCAAATCCGTGGATTCTCTCTCCTCGGTGAGCATGCTCCTGTACTTCACCTGCAGAACTCCTTTCTCCAGTTTTCAGGGTGGCAGATGATGGCTGAGGGGTCCCACCAGCGATGGGTGCTGGTTTGCACAGCTCTGGCAGAGCACTCGGCTCATGCTGAGGCATAAGGGAGCCAAAACTGATGTGTGAGCCAGGGTGTAGCTGACGGACTGATTTCTTTTAACAGGTTTAAGAGAGAACTCAGAGCATAGAACCCAAAGCTTTGTTTGTTTTCAAACAGGGTAACAGCGTAAGGTAGCTCAAACTACTTGACAGTGTCCTTTTAAGTCAATTATCCGTCTCTAAATGGACTCTTCCTTATGTTTGTATTTATAAATAAATACCAATAAAGACCATTTTCCAAGCCTTGTCTTACTAGAGGAACATCCTTACAAAGCAGAAAACCCTGCATGCAGTGGCAGCTTGCCCTCAGAGCTGCAGCGAGCTGAGGGGTGGAACTGGAGCCCAGCTTTAAGGGAACAGCTCTCACTGTCCTGAAAGGTCTGCATTTTGTTCTCAGCTGTTCTCTGCCATCTCCCCCCTGCTTCCCAGCCCCATCTCACACAGGGCAGACCCAGCACAGAGCTGGGAATCCGCAGTTCATCCCCAGCTTCAGAAACCCCAGAGAAGAGAACAAACAGGTGGGAGTTATTTCTGGATGTGCTTTATTGAGTCCTTGTGGATGGAAAGCACTCTGTACACAAGGCGCCCACTGTTCACTTCTTGGTCTCTTCTTCCTTGGAGAGGGTCTTGATGATTTCCTCCTTCTTGGCTTGCAGGCGTTCCTCGCGGCGCTTCCGAGCCTCCTTGGTTTTGGACCTGCGAGCCTCAGCCTGGTCACTGCAAGAAGAGTTTGTGAATGCCTGGGGATCGTTCCAGACAGCCAAGAGAAAGCCTTCCCTGCTGGCCCTGCTCTCCTTGCCCCACTGGTCTGCCCTGCCAGCTGCTGAGCCGAGCAGGCCGTGCTCCACGTGCAGCTCCCTGCACTGCTGGATGCAGCACAAAGCTGCTCCTGCCCCGCAGCACTGCGAGCCTTGAGAACCAATGACTCACACCTCTCCTTATCAATCATTTACTATGGCTGCACCACTGGGTCAGTTTACAGCAGGATGAGCAATTCTGCTCTGCCAGGATTACGTACGTCTCTGCTTCCAGCCAGCCCTACCCAGCTTTGTTTTGATTCCTCACCAGGGCTCTGGGTAGAGGCACCCCAAATATCTGTGTGCGCTTCCTTAAAAACAACTGCTTCCCCAGCCTGCAAAATGGAAGTGTGACAGTGAGGCAACACTTACGCCAAGAGCTTCTTGCGAGCTTTGTCTGCCTTGAGCTTGTGGATGTGCTCCATCAGGATCCGCTTGTTCTTGAACACGTTACCCTTGACCTTCAGGTACAGGCTGTGGTACCTGAAGGAACAGAATGCATCGTGAGTGCTGTGGCAGCAGCTCACCCCCAGGCTCTGAAGCTGCTGCAGTGGCACAGAGCAATGGGACTCTTTGTAGAAGTACAGGGGCTGCTCTGTGCTTTCTGGAGAGGATTTGTTCCCATCCCCAAGCTCTACACCAAGGAGCTGGCTGGGAAGCTGCACACAGCAAGAGACAGATGAGCACATGCACACATTCCCCACTGTCTGAAGCTGCACGCTGGCCTGGCAGACTCACATATGGCGGTCGATCTTCTTGGACTCCCTGTATCTGCGGAGCAGGCGCCTGAGAATTCGCATCCTCCTCATCCAGGTCACCTTCTCTGGCATACGAGCGTTGGCTGTACCCTTTCTCTTACCTAGGATGAGAGAAAACATGGTAAGAAGGTGGCCTGGCTTCTGCTCACATTCAGTCCTGCTTGGATTGTTCCTACTTCAGGAACAGAACTATTGAAACTCTGGCAGACATCTCCGTCCAGCACAAGGCTGTGGGTGCACAGGCACTGCCTTCAGTGCTCACCGATGCCCATGTGCCTGCCCTTCCGACGGGCCAAGGTGTTCTTCCTGCATCGTGCCCGAGAGTGAACGGTCACAGGTTTGCGGATGATCAGACCATCCTTAATTAACTTCCTGATCTGCTGACCTGGAAGAAAAAAAACAAACCACACTCAGTATTTCATGTGAACGAGCAAAGAGAGACCGCGTTAAGCCAAGTGCGGGCTGTAACCTGGTTTGTGTAAGAAGGAAAACCCCCAGCCCCCCTCCTGCTGCTGTTGCTCTTTCCCCATCATCCCATATTTTCCCTACTAGTCACCCAGGAAAGCACCACACACTGACCCACATTGACCCACATGGCGATGGCATGGAGGACCCCAGAAGCGCTGGAGACGAACTCCAATCAGCTCCAAAACACAACGAACCACAGAATTCAAGGGGTTGGAGAGGACCTCCAGAGATCATCGAGTCCAACCCCCGCAAAGCAGCCCCATAACAGCACCGGTGGGTCGGCAATACCTCCAGAGGAGCAGAACCCACAGCGTCCCTGGGCAGCCGTCAAACAGCAGCTGCACCTCAGCCAACGTCAACGACACAAAACAAGCACAGAATCCCCTCCTCGCGGCCCCGTCCGCGCACACTCACGCGAGTTGGCGTTGGCGATCTCGTTGGTCTCGTTGGGATCCAGCCACACCTTCTTCTTCCCGCAGCACAGCACGCTGGAGGCCAGGCGCTTCTGCAGCCGTAGCATACTGCGGGCAGCGGGCGGGAGGCTCAGCGCAGCCCCGGCTCGGCCCCGCGTTGCCTCCCGTTGCGATGCAGCCGCCCCATTTCCCGTCCCCCGCCGCCATTTCGGCCCCCTTCCTCCTCCTCCTCCTCCTCCTCCTCCTCACCGCCATTTTCCCCCTTATCCCCGCGACGTGCGAAAGATGGGGCAGCACCGGGCGCACCCCGCATCTTGAGGCCGCAGAGCCCCGGCCCGTTCCCATTCCCGCCCCCGTCCCCGCTCGCCGTTCCCGGCGGCGCACATCGCTCACCTCATGGCGGCGGCTGCGGCCGAGCCGGGCGGAAAGGACTGCGCACGTGGCCGCGCCCACAGCCAGCGCCGCGGGGAGAGGAACGTACCACTGCCCTACCGCCCCGAACCAACGCGGTTCCGCAGCCTCACGGCGGATCGAAACGCGCCGAGAGAAACGCCGAGCTCCGGTCACGGGTGGGGATGGGGGAGGGGGCGCCGAGGCCGCGCTCGAGGCGTTGGGGAGGCGGACGAGCGTCACTCCGCACCCCCTCCTCTGCGCGGAGTGGTACGGTCCGAACTGCGCATGTGCGGTGAGCCAGGCCGGGGAGGCTGAGCGCATGCGCAGTGGGAATGGCCTGTGCGCATGCGCAGTGGCACGGCGTGGGCAGCACGAAGGCGGAGCGGGCATGGCGGCTGCGGGGGGGCGGTGTCTGCATGGGGGGAGGGGGTCTGGTGTGGGGCTGCGGCTGCGGGGTGATGGCGGCGTTAGAAGGCCTGGGCGATATGAGGCCTGCTCTGATGCGAGGCCCGTGGGAGGCCTGGGGTCACCGCGAGCCTGCGGCCAATGTGAGGCCTGGGGTCACCGTGAGGCCTGGCGTGGCTGCGAGGCCCGCGGACGGCCGGGCACCGGCTGCGTGCTGTGAGGAGCCGCCCAGCGCCGGGCGGCGCGTCCCCCTGCGGCCTCAAACACCCGAGGAGAGGCCTCCTGTTTAAGGGCTCCCCAGCAGCGCGCTGCGCCTCCCTGCTTGGCTGCAATTCC